AGGAATGCACATTCACAGGCCCAGCCCCGACTGTCTGATCAGAGGCTGTACCTTCATAAGCTCTCTGAGTGATTCTGATGCTCACTTAAAATTGGAAACTCATTGACCTAGGACAGGGGTCTTCAAACTTCCTTTTAGTCATAAGGACTGCTATATGTAATAAAGATGTTTCCAAACCCAGATAGTGAAAGAATTTTGTGAGTCTGCTTAATAAATAAGTGTTTTGGGCCTCTTGGGTGTTCCTGGGTGGAGTTCCTTATAACCTCTCTGGCTCAAGGGAGCTCAGTGTACAAATCTTCAATCGAGATCCAGCCCTTCTTTGATAACTGGGCAGGTAAGATTGGAGGAGATAAAGAACCTGCTTAGATTTGCTCAGATGATATTGTAAGATCAGAATTAGAAACTATGAGAGGAGGGCTTATGTATATCAGATAAATTATTGTATGATTATTAGTTCTATTTGTTCTATTAGTTCTATTAAACCCAAGGTTTCAGTTAAGTGCTGTATTTGAAATAACTTAGAAAGCTAGTTTTTAAATTTCAGGGACATGTATCCCATAAAATGAGATACTCAGGAGTTGTAAATCTTAACAGAAAAAGCTTATTTTTCATTTTAGAATCTATTGTATTAGCCAAAAAAGCAGATAGAATACTTCTCCAGTTAACTGAATGCTTTTGGTTTTTATTTCTATTCATAGTACACCAGAATAGGTTAAAAAAGTGCCCCCAAGCACCTAGCTTGGCTCAGCTGTGGTCTGGAGTTTTTATTTTATAGTTTGAATTATTATATGTTGGGAATACTTATTACGTGTGGCGTGTGATTCCAAGTCACAAGTTAAGATTAACAAAGAGCCGGCTTGTGCTTCCTGGCAACTTGGTACACTAAAATACTGCATATGGCTAAAGCTGAGTGGTGCTTCTTCAGTTTTGTAGAAATTAGCTGTTGGACATCTGTTTTGAACCCCTAGTGTGTGCTAGAATTATGTTTTCTCAAAGCATTACAGCTGAGGGCATAATAAATCCTTGATGAGAATTTCATGTTCTAAAACACTGTGGCACGATTTGCTTTATATACCCTGCTTGGGTTTTCTCCTTATTTTTGCTTCTTGAGAAAAGCAGCTGTTGAATGTTCATAGATTGTACTTTAAGCCACTGGAATCCTGTCTTGATTTACTTGAGATCCACATCCCAGAGCGGCAAGCCCAGTGAGTCTATTTGACTTGCCCTCATTTTGCATTGGTTGGCCTATCGCTAACCTCCCTAATAGAAAGCCAGCAATTTTAAACTCAAAGAAAACCCCGGGTCTGTTTAGATCCTTTCCTGTTCCACTCCCAAGATTTTCTGACCCCTGCAGTGTGAAGTGGCCAACCCTTCTGCCTGTGGGCTTCCTTTCTCTCCAGACCACCTCACATTTGCTGATGAAGAGGCCAGCTTGCTTGATCACTTGGGTGACATATAGACTCAAGGGGTCGCAGCCTCAGGCCTGCTGAGTCCTGTTTAACTTTCTGTTTTATGCTCTCTTGTGATACGTTCATGGCTGCAGAAGAGGAGTTTGCAGATTAAGCAATGGCCTCCTTAGTAAGGTTCCGCCTCAATGAGTGAATAATTTTGATTAAAAAGTGATCAGTGTAATCACAGGAATCCAGACTCTGGATCCACTATGTCCTCAGTGTCTCAGCAATTCCTTTGCACAGCCCTTAGACCAAAAGGAAAACTTAAGTTTCTAATTATTAAGTAGGTAAAGTCAAATAATATAAGAAGCATTTATGACCCAACAACTTAGCAGGCATTTGAAACAATAATGTCATTGAAAGACGTACATTGAAAGAAATAATCCTTATTTCCTCCATCATTAAATAATCATTTCCGCTGACAGTGGCATGTGGTGATGTGCCTGTGAGTGCTGCACGACTTCTCGAACCTTAGGGTAAGCATAGCTGCTGCCTTGCTCATTTCCTATTCCACATTGATTTTCACAAGGCATTTGCTTTTTATCATCATCACCACGAGAGCTCAGCTTCTCAAAGACATATCATGAAAAGGGGTGCAATGTGATTTATTGTCAAAACTGTGAGCTACTTCCAGCTAGTATTTTGCACTGTTACCTGAGAGTTGCTGCTGTATTTCCCGCAAAAATTAAAAAAATTCTGCTGCAGCATCCCCAGGGCACCTGCATGCCCAGTTGGGAACCACAAGTCTGACGGCATACAGTTCTCAGAGGTGTCCAGTCTTGTTTTATTTTGCTTTGTTTTTCCAACAGTTAAGATGTTTCACATATCATATGCTAGGTGTAGTAAGAGATGCAATTGTTTTATACTTGTGAATCAACACAGTGGTTTCACATTAATACATCACAACTGTTATATGTAGATTTTTGGTGCCACAAAAGAAGTAGCACTCGAGTATAAATTTCCTCAGCAAGGCAATTTACATCTATAGAAGGGTGCATCTCACAGACAGAGCAATGGCCAGTGCACACCTAGACAAGGAAGGGGAAGGGGTTCGTATTCCTGATACAGGTAGCTGCTACTGCTATGTTGTTCCCCTAGCGGCTAGGGTTGGACCGCACAGTCTAAACTAATTATGATTGGCTATTTTAAAGACAGCACGGGTATAAGCCGGAGTGGTGGGGTAGGTATTTTGGCAGGAAAGAACAGGTCAGAGCAGGTGACCAGGGGTGACTCAGGTCAAAGCAGGTGACCAGGGGAACAGATGTGAACTACTGATTCGGACTAGCAGGAAAGTTGTTTACTGAAACTAGACGCAAGGGGGTGAAGAGAACCAGGAAGTTAAGCTTTAAAATGGAGAATTAAAGAATAAGAGAGCTGACCACACTGTCATACCGACTCTTTGAAGAGAAACTTGGAGTTCCCTATATCTAACACAACCATGCCATGAGGTGGCTGGTTCTCATTTCCCCGATCCCACTCATGAAAAGCAGGAGCTCATGGACTTCCTTTCCCTGTTTAAATGGTTAAGGTGTGGTGACAGGAAAAGGTCATACTCAGGCCTTTAACTGTGCCTCCCAGGTTGTTTTCTCCAGCCATATGTGGTCTGTGGTTCTGTGGAGTTCAAAAATAAAATGGGAAATCACTTTTGTGTAGCCAATTACACTTGTGGACTGCCTCTGCCTAAAAGATCAGCCCTTGGCTTCAAGCAGCATTTGCACAAACTAGGAGGGAATAGATACAGCTTAATACCCCTTCATGTTAAAAATGCTTATGTGGAGTTGACTAGAGGCTTCATTGATAATCAGTGGTAAAGTTCAAGTAACTTTCTTTTAGGCCACATTAAAGTGAACCTCGCATCTGCTACCAGGGAGATGGTGATTCTGTCCTATTGTGCTTTCAGTTGCCTAAAAGAATATACTTGGAGGTTATTTTGCAAGTTCTGAAGCATGTCTGTTAAATAATGGTTGAAGAACCTGAGAATATTTAGTGAGCAGCAACAGAGCTTTGGGAGGAAGGATGTGACATATATACAAAATATAAAGACAGCTATGTCTTTATATTTCAGCCTTCCAAATATTTGTAAGAGAAGTTACACTTTTCCCGTTCTAGCCCCAAATGACAGAGTTGGTACTCTTAAATATGCTCAGTAACAACAAAATTCGTAATAATGTGCAGTGATCGCACCTACTCCAGCAGGCATCTAATTGCTGCCACTACAAACCCTTGTGAAAACGGTAAAAGGGAGATCAGATTGTACAAATCAACTCCTAAAGTCCTTTCATTATGTTTTCTAACTTTCTAATTTTTATCTTTGTCACCAAGCAAAGGCTTTTTACACTGTTCTACATTTGGTTTGCTGTCTCACCAAAGGCATTTCTTTCTCAATTTGGTAAAATGAGGTGTCAGGTAGCACTTAGGTTTTCTGTTTGGAACAGGTGTCTTTGTGAGTAGAGACCATCCAAGAGCAGGTGAAGTTCTTACTGGGCAAATCTTTGAGCATCCATTCTAGCTGATGAGTGGCGTCCCTATGTGGGTGTGGCCAGTAGACCTCTGGGAAATCCAGAAAAACCTTTTAGTTTGTGTTTACTCTGTGTGGCGGGGTGTGGGGGTGGTATTTAAATGATTCATGACTTTACCTGTAAATTCCCCAAATCAAGCATTGGCTTACCAATTCAGAATGTAGAGTCAATCAGTCGCGAGATGCTGGGATGCCTGTCTTTGCTTCATGCTGCTGTGTTTTCTGGTCTTACACTCCAAATAAGCAGTTCATTATCATGAATACCCCTCTGCTTTAGACCCCACAGATTTGTACTGGCTCCTTTTCCCAGACAACTTGAGGACTTAGGAAAGCTTGCCTGCCATCTTTGATTCCCCTCCTATGCAGGGGCTGACCTTCTTTCCCCCTTTTGGGCTGTGCTTCTGCACGGCTGAGCAAGGGGAGACTTCTACCCGCTGACTTCCATCCCAAATCCTCTGCCTTGGCTGCCCTTCAAACACGGCTTCCTTTTCTGGGGTGGACGTAGAGAAGTCTTTTTTCTTTCCCCTTTCCCCAGTCCTCTTTCTGCACTTTCTCATGCCCTGCCAATTTCCTTTCCCTTCTATAAAAGCAGATTTTGCAGAAAATTCCCTTGCCAGCCCTAGGTTGCATATGATGTACCATAAAGCAAAAGGAGGTCTTTGCTGGTTTTCTGATTTATTGGAAAGACATTTCTGAAGACCCGTGTAACTAGACTGACTGCCTTTATCATTCAGCAGGGCCCATGTACCCCTGGAGGAGTTCGTGCAGATGCCTCTCACCGAGCAGGGTGATCACAAATAGGCTATGTTTTAAGTTAGTTTTTTGTTGTGTATTTCATCTGAGAAGTTGGCAAATACTTGAAAGCCACAGGCTACTGTGTTCTGAAAGCTTCTTTGCACATGAGCATAAAATGTATGCATTGAATTTGGAGATCGTCCAGTAACTGTCATTTTAATGCAGCGGAATGTAGATTATAGCTGTTTCCTCTGGAAAGACGTGCATAGCTCTGATTTCCCTCTCTTTTCTCACAGAGTGTCTCCTCTGCAGAAGTCTGAGATAGTGGATGTGGTGAAGAAGCGGGTAAAGGCCATCACCCTCGCCATTGGAGATGGCGCCAACGATGTCGGGATGATCCAGACAGCCCACGTGGGTGTGGGAATCAGTGGGAATGAAGGCATGCAGGCCACCAACAACTCGGATTACGCCATTGCACAGGTCAGCAGCTTGGACATCCAGCTGTCCCATCCTGTTGACACATGATAGCTGGGCATGAGGACGTGGCATTTGACCTTCAGCACAGCCCCAAACTTCTGCCACCCCTCTGGAGGTTGCTGTCTAAATGAAACCCCAGGGATATTTGGATTTCTCAGTAGTCGTGATCTTGTATAGTTTGGAAGCCCTGTCCTGCTGGTTGGATTTCTTTAGCCAGCTGTGGGGTCGGCCAAGCTGCTCTGTGATCCAGGCAAGGTGCTGCTCCTGACGGATAGGTCCCTGATCTTGCTACTAATAACCTCTCACCCTCAGCTTCTGCATCTGCTGCATTGCTTTTCCTGCTGCATCCCTTGATGAAGCACAGCTGTGCTCATGACAGCCTTTCTGTATAATCCCATCCCGGCCTCACCCCTCCCAAAAGTGCTGGGACAGCCTCTGGTCAGGCACTTAAGGTCAGGGAGAAGCAGTGATTTACAGCTGCCGCCTTCTCTGTAATTGTGACAGGGGTGCTGCCCAGAACCACCCCTGTGAGGTGAATTGCCGAGAACATGAGCTGGGTTGGGGCCGTAATGACCCCATGGTCAGTAGCAAACAGCCTCCTGCAGTTAGGCCAAGTTCAGTCTCTTCCCCTCTGATCTGAGCGACGCATGCCCGGGCTCCTGTTGTGCTGTATTGCACTGGTGGCCTGAGGATGAAAGAAAGATTCACTCCGTAATTATAGCCCAAAGGTGAAGGAAGATAGCCAGCTTCCTGACCTGTAGGGTGCATATCCAAAACCACCTTTGCAAAATTATGACTGAGACAGTAGAAGAGATCTAACTTAACCAATTCTATCTTACATCTAACCTCCAAGCTGTGCTTGTTCATTCCTGGGCATAAGCTGAACTAATTTTGAGAGAAACTTTTATAGTTTATAGTTTAAACAAAGACAGTAACAGCCCTTTCTCAAGCAGATCTCCTTGCCTGGGGACTAGACTGACATTAGCCGCAAGATTAGAAATGGTGGCTTAGGAGTCATGCAGCTGGAGGCTACAAGATTCTGACCCTCCTGAACTGCTCCTGAGATCAGTGCTTGAGATATTTTTCAGACCCTGCACTTGATGGATCAGCCAGTGCCACCCAGATCAATAAACTGGCTCAACTAATCTTGTGGCTCCCCGCCACCCAGGAACTGACTGAGATTTGACTCCCTATGATTTCATCCCTGACCAATCAGCACTCCTGGCTCCCTGGCTTCCCCTCACCCACCAAGTTATCCTTAAAAACTCTGCTCCCTGAATGCTCAGGGAGACTGATTTGAGTAATAATAAAACTCCAGTCTCCCTCATGGCCGGCTCTGCATTAATTATTCTTTCTCTATTGCAATTCCCCTGTCTTGATAAATTGGCCCTGTCTAGGCAACAGGCAAGGTGAACTCCTCAGGCGGTTACATATCTAGATGATTTGGCATGCTGGGTCATCCAGAAAACCTAGACATTGCAGTGAACACAAGGCATGTCCCTCTGTCTCCAGATTGTGATATGTCATAAATAAATGCCTGCTCATCTGCTGGGTAGCAGGAATTCTGTTGTGTTTCTGTGGTGTTGAGGTGTTTGAAAAATGCGTTCACCTTAATCACATGAACACAAGGAATAATGGCTATACACTCCTACAAGCTGAAATCAGGGGCTGCATATAAAATGTGAATGAGCTTCCTATAGCCCCGGGGCCTCAGGCCAGTCCTTGCAGTTCTGGGGCTCCACCTCCCCAAAGAGGGGGCTCTGTGTTAGATAACCTCTCAGGTTTCTTCTCAGCCCACAGTTCTGCAGATGCAGGGAGGAATTACAAAATCCTCCTGGCTCTGAAAAGAGCATGCAATCAATCTTCTTTCTTTGCTGATTTCAAATAAATCCTCAAGATAATTTCTGAAGTAGGTAAGAGAAGGAATCCTGATTTTATAGGTGGGCAAACTGGGGTTCCTTCGTATCAGGTGACTTACTTCAGGTCCAAGCAAGAGAGCATCTTGGGGTCAGAAAAAAACGGATCTGAGTGTGAACTTGGGGGCCAGCCCCACACACACCTGCCTGTTTACTTTCCTGAGTCAAATGCTTTGAGGCCTATGGGACTCACACTTCCTGTAGTCTGTCAGCAACCATAGATGTTACACACCCCGGCATTATTAAATACTTGAGTTATAACATCATATGGCTGGAAGGGATCTTAAGAGGTTTCCTAGGAGTTCCAGGCAAATATTTGTCTGTCTTTTTCTTTAAAATGTCTAGGGAAGGGAGATCCCATGACCTGCTTTATTGAAACTGCATATGAATAGAATGTCTTATCCACAGCAATTGCTCTCTTCAGATGAAAAGCATCAAAGAAGGGTGGAGCAGGTAGTGAGGCTTTAAAACACCATTGGGGGTTTTCTTGCCCCTACAGCATCATAGTTACTTCCGGCAAAGAAACTGATGCAGGCCGCATGTGGCTGTGCACCCTCATTTCTCTTGTCCATGGTTCTGTTCCCGATTAGGCGGGGGGTGCTGTTACTTCAGGGCAGGTGCCTGCTAACCTCACACCCTTTCCACCAACCAACATGCTGCCTCTACCTTAATCACCGTGCCAGAAATGCCACAGCTTGATGAATTTCTTTGCCACTGTTGCAATGGTAAACATCTCTGGTTGTTTATCACCTTGGGCTTTATCTGTTCATTTTAATGTGGATGCATTTTTTTTATTAGCTTTGGAGGAAGTACCCTGTAGAGTTATTATACTCAGGAGGAAAAAGATATTTAGCTCAAAGACTTCCCTTGGGAAAGCTATGAAGCGGGCAAAGCTCCGGTTCTATTTCTTCCCTGCCCTGCCTCGTGTTTTTGTGCCCAGGACTGCCCGAGACTGAGCGCCATCCTTTTTCCGCTGCCTTGTGCTGGGCAACCTCGCCACTGCTCCGTCATGGTGCTCCTGTGGGCTTCGGCTTCCCATTCTCCTCGTGAGAATCATTCCTGCCCACTGCCCTCTTACTGTTTTTGGAGCAACCTCATGAAGACAGCATTTTGATTTAGAATATACATTTTTTTTTTCTGAAAACAAATCACTGTAGCGCTGAAGTTGAGGCATTCAGGATGACTCAAGCAGTTGCTTTCTGTGCCCACTGAAGTTTAACATCAGGGGGTCCCGGTCAAATACAAACTTCCTTTTTATTTGTTTAGCCAGTTATTTTATGATTCCCCATTCTCCTTTGGAATCCTTAATGAGCCTTTATGGGGAGTTTTATTTTTCCATGTGCACCTACTTCTGTCATTTTGAAGCAAAGATTTTGATTCTGAGTGCGTGGTGAGCCCCACGCCCACCCCTCACCTCCTGGAAGGACACGCTGAGCTGCGACTTCCTCCTGAAAAATTTTTTTTTAAGTATTGTATTTTCAGTCTGGTCATTTCTTTTCTATTGAGAGTTACACTTAATTTCTTTCTTTCTTTTCCTTTCTCTTTCTCTGTTTCTCTTTCTTTCTTTCTTTCTTTTCTTTCTTTCTTTCTTTCTTTCTTTCTTTCTTTCTTTCTTTCTTTCTTTCTTTCTTTCTTTCTTTTCTCTCTCTCTCTCTCTCTCTCTCTCTCTCTCTCTCTCTCTCTCTCTCTTTCTTTCTTTTCTTTATCTTTCTTGACGGAGTCTCACTGTGTCACCCAGGCTGGAGTGCAGTGGCATGATCTCACTCACCAAAACCTCTGCCTCCCAGGCACCAGTGATTCTCCTGCCTCAGCCTCCCAAGTAACTGGGATTACAGGCACATGCCACCATGCCTGGCTAATTTTTTGTATTTTTAGTAGAGACAGGATTTCGCCATGTTGGCCAGGCTACTCGCGAACTCTTGATCTCAGGTGATCCACCCACCTCAGCCTCCCAAAGTGCTGGAATTACAGGTGTGAGCCACTGCACCCAGCTGAGTTACATTTAATTTCAAAACTCATCTGAAATTAATAGGAAGTGTACAACAGCAAAATAATTTCTGATGTTCTGGGTCATTCTCAATACAGCCCGCTTGTCTCTCCTAGTAGTGTAATAGGGTTCAAGTTTGTGGACTTCCTGACACTCTTAGAACAGGGGGCATTAAGGTTTTTATGCAAGGGAACAGAGAGGGAAGTCAAATCCAGGGTGAGGCATATCAAATGTGTAGAAACATGATGTAAACAGGATTGCCCCTAATGGCATATTCATGCCAGAGCGGGACACCATGCACCAGACCAAAGAAACTCGTTACCGTCCCTCCAGCACAAGGTTTACACTTTTTGGGACCTTTACGAAATGGCACACAGAAGGCAAAGCCAGGCTGAGGGGTGGCTGAGGAGCTGGAATCCAGGTGGTGTCCAGAGACCCCCCCTCCCCAGGTAGTATTCCTAGATTTACTGGAATATGTATGGCTCCAACTCAAACCACAGGAGCCATCACATTACTCCCAGCTTGGGACCTACCAGCAGCTCCTGACTGCACAGCACTCTGGCCAGAGGTGCTCCGTACTGGTTGGAGAAAAAAAGGGGAAAACAAAATTGGTCAAGAAGTGGAGGCAACGTGTGTGTGTGTCTTAGTATGTCTATGTGTACATGTGTATTTGTATGTGTGTATGAGTGCATGTGTGTCTCTGTGTATCTCTTTCTTGTGTGCCACTCTCTGTGTCTAGGTGTGTCTGCCTGTGTGTATCTGTGCCTGTATGTGTCTCTGTGTATCTATGTGTATATATCCATGTGTGTCTATATGTGTGTGTAACTTTTTAACCTACGCAGCTGTTAGTGGAGGTAGTGTGTGTGTGCACCTGTGTGTACTTTCTTTTTTAAACAAAACACTGTTGTGTTGAGTGTCCCTGTCCCTTGCCCCTTTTGTCACTGGAAAATTTGTGATTGCTTAGAGGCGCCTGACTCCCACTGTACTTTTCTTTCAGTTTAGGAGTTCACCTTGTTTAGTAATTCATCCCTGTTGCAGCACCACTCACAATGGCAAAGACATGGAATCAACCCCAATGCCCATCAAGGACAAACTGGAAAAGAAAATGCAGTACATATACACCACGGAATACTATGGAGCCATAAAAAGGAACAAGATCATGTCCTTTGCAGAGACATGGATGGTGCTGGAAGCCATTATCCTCAGCAAACTAACACAGGAACAGAAAGCCAAACCCCACATGTCCTCCCTTATAAGTAGTAGCTGAACAATGAGAACATATGGACACAGGGAGGGGAACAACACACACTGGGGCCAATTGGGGAGGCGGGGGGAGGGAGACCATCAGAATAAATAAAGTATCTGAACCCTAAAACTTAGGCGGTGGGTCGATAGCTGCAGCAAACCACCATGGCACACATTTACTTATGTAACAAACCTGCACATCCTGCACATGTACCCTGGAACTGAAATTACGGAAAAGCATTTGTTTAAATAGAATTTTGTAAGAATAACAATTAGAAGTCCAGCGGTATGTTTGGGGAAAATAATTATTATGTGGAGTTAAGAGAGGATTTTAATTGTTCTCACTGGGCCTGAAAGCTCTGTCTTCAGAGAATGGTTTTCTGAGATTCCTGCAGAATCTGGTTTCCTCTACCTACACTATCTGACTTCTGTTCTTAAGGACACTCTGTTTGGGACTTTTATTCCTCAATGATGGGCTCTTCTGAACTTTGTCATTTTCCTTTCCAGTTTTCCTACTTAGAGAAGCTTCTCTTGGTTCATGGAGCCTGGAGCTACAACCGGGTGACCAAATGCATCTTGTACTGCTTCTATAAGAACGTGGTCCTGTATATTATCGAGGTAAGAAGGGGCATTTTTTTTCCTTGAAGAGACAGATCTTTTCAGAGGATATCTTGAAGTATTTAAAGTCATTTCAAGGAAGGAATTTATTCATGTAAAATTAAAGATGCTGCTGTGACTTTCTATAACCTGGGTCACATGTAAGCTCCCCTGAAGCTGGGTTCGCCATCCTGGCCTAGATCGTCATGCTGGATGACCAGAGCAGGCATCTGCAGCCTTTCTTCCCTACCCACCATGCCTTCCTCCCTAGCTCTCTTCCTGTGTTCCTCTTTGCCATACCTCTTCCTCTGTATCCAGGGCTGGGGTAGAATCTTGCGGACACTGACATTCCTTCCAGAGGGGTCAGTTCCTTGCAGCAGGACCCACACCTCGCCAGGTAAACACTGAGGTGTTGCTAGGCAACCCAGTCACGTGTTTCTTTCCTGGAATGAATGGGGCAGGTTGGCCCGATTTCTGCCTTACTTCTCACGAACTCTGCAAGTTTCCTGAGCATCCATTCACTGCTTCTGGGATACTTGGACACTGGCACTCACATGGGAAGGGTGTGGAAGTGAGGGAACAGTGGGGAGTAAACCAGTAAGGTCATTGACAATATTCCAGTGAGTTCATATTCTGTTGTCGGACCATTTTCTGAGTTGCTAATTCAGTTACCAGTAAAGCAAATGTGCTCGCTACAGTGGTGGGCCCAGGAAGAAGTGGAAAAGTCACTTTATGTTTGCTGTTAGTGGGATTACAGCCCTGCTATAAAGGGTGGCTTTTGTGACCATCGTGACTAATCAATTTCCAAATGTGTCTGTCTGTGGAGGAAGGCAATGTTAATTGTTTATGGTGTTTTAATGTCTCATTCTATGGGTTATTTTATGTCTGATTTCTTGACTGTTAGTAAAAATAATAACCAAGACAGAAATCAACTTTTTCTGCTGTAAACTCTGACAATGCTCAGTTTGAATAGCTATTAGTAACAAGTGCCTTGCTAAGGTAGCTGTAACTAACTGTGACTTTACCAGGTTGTCTAATCTTTCCTATTCAGTTACTGAGGCCAAACATATAAGTTCATGTCACACATCTGGTATCTCAACTACTGTAGAGTGATTTCCCCAAGTTGTGCAGCTTGTTCATGGCCCAAGACAGCCTGGCCAAAAGAGTAAATGAAGCAGAAACATAACCTGTGCTGCTTCATTCATCTCTTCAGCTGCCCAGAGCCCAACTGGAAACAACAATGCGTTTTTCTAAGTTGCACAAGGGCCAGCCTATTCACCAAGACGTGTGTATTTGCAGAGAGGGTACCTCTTCTAGTTCACAGAAAAGCCCCTTGCAGGCTGGTGACCAGCCCTGATTCTTAAAGAATATTCCAAGCAATCAAAAGGGATCTGATTAAAGTCCTGAAACTGACCCATTCTTCCTCATTTGACACTTTGGTGAGAGGTGTCCCATCTGCCTAAGTGTTATTTCCCTAGGAAGAACATATGTAGCAGAGGCTTAAGAGATTTGGTGACATAATTGACATTTTATTCAGTATAGTGAGGTTAAAATCAATAATTTAAAAAATTATTCATAATTTGTCTGCTAGTCTTGCGCTGTAATATTCAACTCAGTTCACTCTGGGTAAGAACTTGTAGATGTTGGTGTAAAGGCTTTTGTGGTTTCTCTCTTCTTCTATTTTTACAATTCCCTTTTGGGATTTAAAGATGTTTGTCCCCCTCCTGCTCCCACATTTTTTTGTATCTGTGGTAGGAGTCAGTCCTCAGTGTCACTTAGAGTCATGGATGATGGTGTAAAGGGGTATTGGAATCCCTGTTCCTTCATGCTATCCCAGGATTCCCAGCATTTTGTGCTCCCGTAGCTGTTGGCTTTCACAGTTTCTTAATAACCTGGTTTTCTTCACAATCAGCAAATTACAGATAGTCTAGACTTCTTATCAAGACATGCTGTATGGAGCTCCCGATGCTTTCACTTTTCAGATTGTCCCCTAGGGCCCCTTCTTAGTCATTTATACCTGCTCTCTTGCTGGTGTTATTTATTTATTTATTTTTTTGACTTCAAGTGGGCTGAGTCTGAGAAGAGTGCAATTTTAGTCTGCCTAAAATATTCTGTTTGGAAGGAGGCCCTGAAAGTGCCACCTGCGTGCCTTAAATTAATATTTCAATCGGAGCTGAGCAGCAGTTGTTAAATGGCCTTTTGTAAACAGCCTTTTAAACATTCTTTATAATGTTAAAGAAAATGTAAAAGTCTCCACCACTCCATGCCCAAATTTCTATTTAGTATTTCTCGGGAATATTAATTGAAAACCAAGAAAGCAAAATCCTTGACCCAGCCCTATGGTTAGAGCATTGACTCAGGCAGAGCCTGCCATTGCAAAATTACTTCCTTGGCATCAACGTGCACTTCAAATATAATTTTAAAAATAGGAAAGTACTACTTACATGCCATTTAGTGTGTTGTGAACTACAAGATCAAAGATTATTGTAAGTTGATTGCTTATTTGCAAAGAATACTTTTTTGTTCTAAAAGTAACTCTTATAATTAATTACTTAAGTGAGACTAAATTAAACATATTACTTATTTATCTTAAATGGTTTTCTTGTAACTCAAGGAGCGATTCTTTACAATAGCCAATATGTTCTCATCTCAAATGCCCTCTAAGATACATAGTTACTAATCATTTTAAAATGTAGTCTAAAGGCAATTTGGTAAATTTAAAAAAACATACACATGTGTGATGCGCACACACCTTTTATGGCTTTAGCCATTATTAAGAGGATCATTATATGACTTGAGTTGCCAATAAAGATTGTAGGGAAGAGCTGTGAGCCTGTGATGTAATGCAATCTACACACTTGGTATACTAACCTATAAAAGTGGATTTTTCTGTATAAGGAACACATGGATGTACTCACGTTGCTGTACGGAACACAAACTGAAAGTTCCCTCCCCTCTCACCCCCAAACCTCCTTCCATATCACCTGTCCTGACCTTTTTCTCTGTAGGTATGGAGATATTTATGCATACAAACAAAGCAAGGATTTTATAAATGTCATCATTCTGTGCAGTGCCTTCTGCAACTCATTTCACCTGATAGTGTATTCTGGAAACCATTCCCAGTTACTATGTATAGACCGAGGGCATGCCATTTCACAGGGGGATTTCCTGCAGTCTATTCAGCCATTCCCTGCACTGATAAACATTCCACTTATTTCCAGTTTCAACCCCAAAAGCCTTGTGGAAAACAGCTTTCTCACTAGCCCATAAATATTCCACCCAAATGATATTGATCTCGTTAGACCGTTTTTACCACAGTGCCTTGACTATAACACATGCTTATGTATTTTTATTTATACAAGTTATTTGTTGCTGACAAATTTAATGTTTGTTGAGTGTGCCACATAGAATTCAAGCCAAAGTATTGGTTCAAGTGATTTAAAAAATAGGAACAAAATGATGCAATACATGGTTTCATGTTGGCTCTATTAATAGGTAAAAATGAAAACCTTTGCCTCCATCTTCCCTGCAACTGCCTTAGTTTACTACTGTTTTCCTGGTTGATTATAAAAACTGCAGTTTCAGTTCCTTGACCATCTCTATTGTAGCTAGGATACGATTTCTGAAACATACATCTGATCAATTCCAGTGTCTGGAATGGAGGTGGTTGAAAATGCTGGCAATGAAAGAGTGATGAACGCTGCTGCTCTCTGCAGCCGCTTTGTAGGCTCCCTGTGCCTTCTGATGAAATGCCCGTTCTCAGTCCCGTTGCCTGTGGTCTGGGTTCCAACTGTCACCAGCCTCCTCTGCCACTGTATTCTCTTTACTTTGTTTGTAATCAGTGTTAATGAAGTATGATTAATATATAGCAAGATACACACTTTTTAAGTGTTGCGCTCTGTGAATTAAAACTGAATTTTTATCATTAGAAACACACTGAGGATTTTGTCTGTCCCCCATAGACGGTGGTAAGAATGTCCCAGAGAGCTCTGGAGACAGATGGCAGTGAAGGTTGCACAGCGTTGGGCACTGGAACTGCAGTGCAAGTGTAAGCATGGGACCAAACTCTCAAAAATGGCTAAGGTGGCAGACTTCGTTATCTACATTTTACAACCATTTTAAGATACTAAAAAAAAGAGAGAGAGAGAGAGAGAGACAGAAATGTCACAAACACTTGGCTGTTTTCATCACCTTGAGAGAGACAAAAATGTATAAGGACAGATTGTATGCTTTGGGGGAGCTTATTGAAGGTTTGAAAACAAATTTTATATGTAGTTTTGTTTTGCATTAAACTAATTAAATGCAATGTTTTATAGTCGTGGCCAGATGGACCATATTTCTCAGAAGGTGAAATCCTTTCGTGGTCTAGAATGCTCAGAGCTTCAGAGCCTTGCAGGGCAGCCAGCTAGAGTGGGATTGGGGTAGGGGGGCGGGCGGTGTATATTTCCTGTGTATGTGCAATGGGAGTGAGAATGGGATGAAATTAGCAACAGCAAAGCGATAGAGCTGGGTAAGGATATGTGAGTGACCAGGGAAGGACATCTGAATGGCCCAGTCAGAGTTGTGTTGCCATTAGAAGCTGGGATTCCTTTTTTTCCTTCTCTTTTTGCAATAGGCAAATTATATAGTAAATGTGACTTAGGAAAATTTGTCTATCAATATGTAGGGAAGATGGCAAGCAGAGAACTTACATGTAATTTTGTAGTTTTTAAGCCTGGGGCCTTAATCATGCTATTGTGTAACTATCTCTCCATTAATTTATAAGCAGAAAGCAAAGACTGATTTTTAAAAATCCTTTGATTTTGACAATGGGGGGAATTTGCCTTAAATGTAAAGATTAGGGATGAAGAGGTTAGGAAAGGATTCCTATAAAATTTTTGAAGTCCTGATTGACCTCAGTGTGATATCTCCTGAAGAGAGGGGTTGAGTAAATTCTTTAATGCTCCTACTGTATTTAAGAAACTAGGAGTTAGGTATTTGGAGTTTTCTGAATACAGTTTCAGAGCACAGCAGCTGCAGCA